CCGCCGGGCCGGCTCCCCCCGCTGCCGCTGCTGCCGCCGCCGCTGCTGTTCCCGCCGTCGCCGCTGCTGCTGCGCCCGCCGCCGCCGGGGGAGCCCCGCCGGTCTCGGCCTGCTGCTCTCCGGCGTTCTCGGCCGCTTCGTGCCCGTTCTGGGTGGCGCCGGCGGCGGCCGCCAACTGCTGCTCCGCTTCGGACATGCTTGCCCTGTCCGCAGAGGCGAGAGGGACGACAAGCGCCTGCAAGAGAGGAAGGGCGGCCCGCGGGTCAGCCAGGCGGCTCCCCCCACCGGGCCGGTCTGATCCGGTCGGGACCCGCCCCTCCCCCCTTTTCCGCCGCCATCCCGCTCATACTCACTTTAAAACCCGCTCGCAATAAAATCCGGGCCGGCCGGAATCGGCTTAAAATCCCCCAGGCGCTGGAGCTGACACCCCTCCCCGCGGCGCTCGGCTGCTCCGCACCGGCCCCGCCGCCACCTTCTCCTCCCCCTGAGACACGTACTCTCCGGCCCGGAGCCTTAACGCGTGGCCGCCTTTATACCGCCGGAGCCTCAGCCACACAGCAATAAGGTACTTCCTCGTTGGTCGCCGCCGCTTGTCAGTCATGCCGTTCTTCGCCTCCTATTGGCTGCGCCGCGGGGGGCGGGCGGGGTGAGGCGAATGGCGGCCCGCGGGACTGGGCTGGGAGGGAAGGCGAGGCGCGCGGAGGCCCTTCGCCTCCAGCGCTGAGGGCGGCTCTGCCGCTCCCCGCCATGGCCGGGGCAGCCCTCCCGCGGGCGGGAGAAGGGCCCGTTCCGGCGGACGTTAACCGTCCTCGCCAGGCGCTTCACGAAAAACGACAGGGCGTGACAGGGAGGAAGCCCAACCCCTGAGGGCGCGGGGCCCGCGGGAGGGAGTCGGTCGGCTCGGCCGTGGGCCGGTCACGGCCCCGCACGGGGAAGTTATTATGGAGGCGCGGCGTTGCCTCACGGTGCCGCTTGCGCTGGTTTAGCTGAAGGCGTGGTACGTACACTGAGCCAGTTACTCCAGTACCAGAGGTTTACTTAAATGTTTCCAGGTCTGTTGATTTTGCAACCGAGAGGGCCAGAATTTGTTGCTTTTAATGGAAAGTTAGGTTTGGGTATTACATAACTCTGGGAGCTGGAGCCCTGAGCGTGGGCCTAGGCCTTAGTTCCTTTTCCCCAAGGATATATCAACGTTGTTGACAAAATTGTGTGTGAAAAGTGCAGAAGACAACTGCTCCTTGTAATCATACTTCACCTTCTTGTACAGTATACCATTCCTCATGTCCAAATTGTCCACGTCAAAGGGACGGTTTGGCTTTTAGAAAGATATAGCTGAAGTTTACTGCCACACACACACAAAAAAAAAGCAACCCTTTGCTTGTGGGCAAAAAGTAACAATTATTACCTAACTTTCTGTAATAATGAATGTGTATGTCTTTACTTGCTTGCTCCACCCTCTCTCAAATATCTCCTCTGGCTTAACTTGCATATTTTCATGCAAGAAGGCGTGCACATAGGTACTTGGGAATAAAAAGAGAGTGATACTTTGTGCTGTTGGATAATCTGGTCTAGGGTCCAGAATGTCCTTCAGTGAACTGCTTGTAGAGCACATTTTATCCTCTACAGGGTTCATATTCTGAAGTAGGAACTTGGTAGAATGGGGGCCATTAGGTTTGGTTTTGAAAGCTTTGTAGCAGTACAACAAGCAGAGCATTAAAGATGTACACAAAATAAAATCAACATGGTATGTTGACGGTCAAGGCCTGATTTTCATTTTTTTTTTAATAAAAACTCCATTGCTTCAGGCTATAAGGCAGACCTTTTAAGGGGAATAGTCAAAAAAGGAAAATGTGCTTAGTATTGGGAAATTGTATGAAAAATAGCCCCTCACTACAGCCAAGAATTTCAAGCCATTCTTTTGCATTGGTGCTTATGGTACTTGTTACGAGCATCGCTTTAACTGGTCCAAGCTGAGCTTGCTGCTTTGATACCCATGCACACATACACCAAGACTGCAGAATAATTGTTACTGAACTTGCAACTA